AAAGACGTACACTGATTATCAGTTCAAAGAGGATATTTTCTAAATATATATTACTAGACAATGTTAGCTCACATTGCACAGCGACGTTACTTGTGCAAATACCCCGATCACCAACACCATTATGCACAGACACCTTGTATGTCCCAGTATCTAGTCTTGAGGCAGTAAATGTCAGTGTGCTATTGGCGGTCAGTCTACTTCCATTAGGATGAGTCCAGATGTACTCATAAACAGGTGGGTTTCCTGTGGTGGTGACGTTTAGCGAGACCTTCTCTGTTTCTTTAAGTGTTATATTTTTATCAGAATGTATTTCACACGACGAAGGAACTGGAATTGTTAAAATATTACAAAAATATGTAAATGTTGAGTAAGTAAATACAGCCAAGAGATTAACCTCCTTATCCACATCCCCAATCTAAAATAAGAAAACAGATACGATTTAAACCTTAAGTGAAACCGCAGCACGTGTTATTCAAATAAAGATAACACTTACAGTAGACGATGAGTGGAAGATTTTYCCCTTTTGTTTCGTTGCACTCTTTGCCATTATTAACTGTCACAWRRTAATTTCCAGTATTTTCTCTGTTGACAGAATCAAWCGTCAGGTTCACTYGATTCCACACGTGACTACCATTGGTCCATGTTATGTTCAGTGGATCACTACCAGTGATGATACACGACAAGGTCACTCTTTCTCCTTCAACTACCGATCCATTGATCATATTCTCACTGGTGACTTTACAGTTTTCGGCTTTAGGAGGTTCTAAATAAAAAAGAGGTTATACAATAATGAAGCAATTGCTTAACGACGATTCATTAGTTACTCTACTGTCAATATGGTATTAAAATGGCAACTTTGAAGACTTTATTAATCAATCATCACATCGTATTTGATTTTGGGAAGCATTTGAAATATATCAAAACATGAATAATTTTATGCTTTGCTACTGTAATGTTATTTTTTTGTTGCCGCGAAGGAGGAAATAAACAAGAAATGAAAATTTAAATGAGAATATGAAAACATCACGAAAGCGCAACAATAGTTAATCTGCAAATATGTTTATTTCTAGCACCCAACACGAAAATAAGTTTGCTTCAACGCTACATACATGCCGTGGCTGGCAAGACCTTTAGAGCCAACACAAAACCTTATAAAATTTTCGATTTTATAAGTTATAATACACTCTATAAAATTACTCGATTCTGATTGGGCATGAGGAGTACAATTATTGTGTCATAAGTGTGCTCTTCAAGCACATTTTTCTAGTTTAAACCTGTATTTTCTCAAAGTTTACATATCCATAATAAATGGGAGGTGTATTTAATAGATCGCTTGCCAAACAAAAAAAATATTTATTTATGTGTCATTGTAGTTTGGTTAGGACGGTTATTGTTTTTTCTTGTTAAAAAATTGATAGAAGAAACGATTGCATTGGATATTGTTTTAATACCTTTGACAAGAAGCTCCAAACTTCTATTTTGGCCGAACCCCACAGTATTGTACGGTACACAGATGTAGTTCTTGCCTAATTCATTTAATGTCACACTAAACACACCACTAATACTGTTATCATGGACCAGCTTTGTGTTGTGATACAAAGAGTATTTAGCAGGAGGCTTGGCATAGGATGTACATGAGATAGTTGCAAGACTTCCAAGACAAAAACCTGTCAGGTTTGGAGATATGCTGATTGATGTAGATTCTGGTAAAACTGGAAGAAAATCCAAAGGCATAGATTTTAACAAGCAATTTTCTATAATAATTAGCAAAAATAAAGCAAACAAAGGAACAACAACAAACAAACTAACAAAATAGCAACAACAAAATTATAAGCACACATAATCTATCGATATGGTGAATGATCTTATCATGGATGAGTATTACAAAACAAAAAACAAAACAAAAACGTATGGATAAAGTAAGATATTTTACTGTACCTTTTGAAATGAGAATATGTGGACCGCGTAGCACTTATGAAATACATGAAGATATAAAAAAATAGATAAGTTTTAGATAGGCTTTCGCCCGGAATAACCTCGTTCCCAAGCACTATAACTTATCTATATTTCTGTATCCTCATGTATTTCATAAGTGCTACGCGGTCCACATATTCTCATCTTTGCATCATAATTACCGCAACCTAACATCTATTTCACCCCGGCCTGCTCTCAGTCTGACCTCTAGCTAAGCTGGTAGAGCATTGGTTAGTACAATTCCGAAGGTCGTGGGTTCGATTCCCAGCGTGGTCGGAAATTAATTTTTTTCCGAATTTAATTCCAAGGGCTTTCGCCCGGAATAACCTCGTTCCCAAGCAGTATAACATTTATATTTCTATATCTTCATGTATTTCATAAGTGCTACGAGTGTTCCTAAACTACATTTCACCAATAGTAACAATGTCCAAAATTGCAAAGGCGCGTCTTGTCTCTTACTTGGTATATAACATATTTCAATATAAACATGTCCCTTATTATCTTGTCTCGTTATTGCAGAAATCATTCACCCAATACCCGATAGACTTTCGCAAAGTCCATCGTATCCTTCTTAGTTCATGCGCGCTGAAAAAAGCCCGTTCAATCCAACCAGGATCATATCACACGCACTTTTTTTCACACTTGCTTCGATCTTGACTCTGTAAGCCTCAGAGAGGTCGACTTGGATTAACTCTAAATCCCCGATAGCGTGTAAATTTCACTTGATAGATGTATTATTTGTTTGTTTTGTTTTTTGTTTCTTTTTTTTTGTTTTTGTTTGTTTTTGTTTGCAGATAATGGATTTGTTTTGAAATTCACTTAAGGTTACAAAATACGTTGGAATATAGTTTGCTTTAAAAAATAAATAAATAAATAAAAGCGAGAATAGGAGATTTTATTGTTGGTTTAAAGTTTTATAATAAAAAAAATGTTGAACTCGTTTTTGGCACGATATCGTAAATCATCCGGACCTTGACATGTGTTAGCCATCCACCCCCGCCCTTGATAATTTACATAATATCATGATCACTTCTGAATCTTTTATTTCCAGAAGTCGTTTAACCGTTTAACATCCCTGTGGGTGAATAGTGATGAGGGAAATGGACCCTTGCATGTGACGTCAAAGCAGCTCCATCTGGGGGACAAAACAAAAGAATTCCAGTCTTTTAAGAATTGGAACCTATTGTTTTATCCCCCAGATTGAGCTGATTGATAGCTTTACAATATTTCTCGCGTTTTATTGGATATCATCAATAAGAGGACAGGCAGATAAGCTGACGTCAACGAGCGCTCGTTCTGTTCTTTGATTGTTTTGATCACTCAACGAGAAGTTATCGTTTTTGTTATTGTAAAAAAAGAAAAAA